GATTCTCAAGTAGACAAAGGCCATACTCTGAAATTGGAAGACACTGTCATAAGGATGAGTGTCATACCAAAAAAAAAAAAAACAATAGTTTAATTTGCTCTCAGACAAGGTCCAATTCCATCATAGTTACAGTTTCCATTGTTAAGAATATTTTAAAATTGTTAAATGGCAACCAGAAAGGTTTTCTCTTGTCTTTCTAATTGCAATTAACACATTTTCAAAGAAATACTGCCTAGACACCCTAGTTTGTAACATATTTCATTAGGTACATATTTCTGGAGCTGAGACAGTTAAGCCCTTGAAATATATATTAGACAATATACCTCAGTCCCAGACTCATTAAAGTGATACTAAACTCTTAGGGTCTTTGTTTTTCAATTCACAGCAGGTTGGCAGTCATTCAATTATAGTATAATTTGGTAATGCAGCTCACTTCTCTGGAAGCAATTCATCTCAATTCTAATCATTATGTTCGAAAGTTCACTCTATCCAGATGCCAAGTTTCCTCAACTAGACAAAAGCATAGCAGAAATATTTCTGCTTGGCAAAGCCTGACAAATTTTTGGAGGCTTTGTCATGCCTCAGCAGGGCACTAGTCAGGTTATAATTTGCTTTAATTGTTCTACCCACAAACAGCAACAATGATTACCTCTAGGTCATTATGGCACTCAGAGATTTCTTCCAGGCCACTGTAAAAACAAAAATACTTTCTGCAAACACCTTCCTCCGATTAGACTGCAAAGACTGTCCAATTCTGACTATTTTGTTTGTTGACCTGGTATCTGTTTTTTAATGAAAGTTACAGTGTGACCATGTATCTAAATGTGCACACTGGAAACACCAAAATAGCTCAGAAAAATTACTGGCCTCCCATAAAACAACCAGTGTTCTATATGCATAATTTGTTCCACCTGCCATGTTTACAAGGCACCCCAAGGAGAATTAGCTTAAAACCCAGCAATCCATCTGCCTCCCAGTTCTAAGGGGGTAATTATTGCCTCAACTAAGCAAAGAGGAATGCACAGCATGCTGCTAACCATGGCAGGTGACTGATGTCTGTACCTCACACACTCACCCAGGTCACAAGATTTTCTCACAGTAGCTGGAGTCACATGACAATGACAAATATAATGCACTACTAACAAAAAAGGGGACAAAAAAAATGACAGAGGCCTACATCAAACAGGCCACACCCAGAACACAAACTAAAAGTGTGAGCTTTATTACTTCTTATAGGCATGTTAAAAATAAGGAATATGGGGGGCTGGGAAATAAGAGTGATAGGTGAAAACAAGGTTTTAAACAACAATGAGATTGTTAAAAAAATAAGGGGGGGATGTGAAAGTAGGAGTATTATTTCTACTAGCTTACTATTAACTGTACTTCCTAGGTACTGTTTCATTTAAATTAAGGTTTAATTAATTACCCTTTACTAAGAATGTACAATGTTATACATGCTGTACACACGAAATAGAGCCTGTCCTCCAATACAACAGGACGGTCTCCAGCTGAGGTCACAGGGACCGACGGAGCACAAACTTTAAAGAATGGCAGTTTAAACACTAGAATAATGTTTGAGTGCAAAACCATGCATCTTGATGAAATGCACATAGCACACGTGTATCTTCAAAAAGATTCTGCCTTAAGAGGCATTCAAAGACAAGCTCTTTGGGGACACACCCCCAATGAATTGCAAAAGGTCACACACAACTCCTTCCTTCTGAAATGAGATAGACACAACATACAAATTAGCATATAGAATATCCAGTCATTAAATGTTCCTTGCCAAGGCTCCCATGAGAAGGCAGGAGGGAGGCAGTGGAGTGGGGGAGAGAAAAGGAAAAGTAGGTAAAAATGGACAGGTCACTTTGGAAATGATTCCAGACTTTGAATCACACTTATCAGTAAAATTACATGTAAAATATGGGGGTGGGGTAGGGAAAACATCAACATCGAGTTGTCATTTATTTTGCCAATGTATAAATACCATCCATTATCATGAATAGTTGTTTTCATATAAATATTGGATAATCTTTTATATTAAGTAAATTTAACTCTTCCAAAAACGAATATTTTAGGACATGACGCTTCACAATTAATACCTTTGATGCCAATTTGGGGAAGAGAAAATATAATTTTCAGAGTATATTTCATTCTATTAAAATACCTTCTTTCTTTATAATTTCACTTCCATTTTGTAAGAATCCCTTTAACTGAGCATGCCTCTTTCACATTAGTGACTGTGATGATTTATAATGAAAATACGCTAATGCAGAATGATCCTTGCAAAGCTATGAAGCTCAAGGATATTTTAGTTTTGTTCTAGCAGAGGATGGCATGTTTAATGTTTGTGTGTATCTTGTTCTGATTCAACTGCCACCATTAAGCAACACATATTCTGGCCTCAGTGTTAGAGTAGCTGGATTAAAACTGGCTATTTCCCCCTGCTGGCTGGACATGTTTTACATTCTCTACCTCACTGCCTGCAGCATGAATGCTCCCCATAGTACCAAACCCATTTATTTTCCACCCACTGACTGACCTCCTAAAGCATCATTAACATGCCCCCAAAGGCCTTACTGCTGTCAATTTTAGTCAGCCCAGCACTCAAAAGCCTTCACCGGGTTCATCTGAGCTCTGCAGAAAAGGAAAGTCAGAAAGGGAAAGGCATCAGACCCAAACCTTAGGGAGCAGCCAGCCCAGGAAGATAAGGGAGGGGCGGAGGAATGGAGAGACTCCTGTCTGGAGGCAGAGTGCAAAGCTAAAGACTGAAAGGCTGGTTTGCAGACACCCATAATTATATGTTTCTGCCTCTCAATTCTCAGCTAGTTAATGGCAGAAAGATCAATATCTACTTTCGATTTTCATGTACACCATTATGGCCGTAGTGGGAGACAGGTCTTTTGGGAAGAAGAGATGATTCAGGACATGGGTCTGGGAGAGCATGATTCATGACCAAAATTAATAATTTTGTTGGTTTGCCTTTATATTTTCTAGAATATATTTAGGTTTTCTCTTTCATTTTGTTTGGACAAACTTTTTCTCTTCTGATAACTCTACTCACCCTAAAGTCAGAGAAATTAATGACATGGCAAAATATCAGGAATAAGTGTGGAATTGAGTTATGTGCACAAAGTAATTTCAAATGATGTCTCCACACTTAGCAGAGTGGGCCCTGAGCTCCAAAACAGAGTTAAAGTGAACAGCAAATCCAGCTCCAGGTTCCAGGGACCTTAAGGGCCTAGTTTATCAATGATCCTTTTGTTTTCTCCTTGGGAGAATATTAGGCAAACCTTCAGTGGGTTTTCATTTTACACTTGATTCATATGGTTCAAGTGTTATGAAATAAGTTTTTTTTTTCATATTTATTTTTTAGTTCTTGGTGGACACAACATCTTTGTTTGTATGTGGTGCTGAGGATTGAACCTGGGCTGCACGCATGCCAGGCGAGCGTGCTACCACTTGAGCCACATCCCCAGCCCTGAAATAAGTTTTAGAACACAATATTTGAGTAGAGTTTTTTTCAGAACCATGCAGAGAATGTCTTCAGGAATTTTTTTTTTTTTTAAAGAAGGCAGCAAAATATTTCTAACATACAATTTCTTCATGGGATGGACTTATTTTGTGGAAGTATGCTGTACACCCAAAGCTGCATTTATAAAATACTAGGAAAATGTGATTTCCAGCACTAATTGCAATAGACTGCTGTGTCTTGCTAAGTGACAGCACTAGTCAGAGCATCTTGATGCACACATCCCTTCTCACTAGTGCATTAATATTCAAATTACAAGTTCCCTGAGTAAGTTCTAAAAAATGATCCATGAAACATTCTTTAATAATCACAAGCCGATGCTCCTTTAAATTTTACCCAAATTTCCAATGCTTCTTAAAGAATACAAGTCTTTCTCAGTCATGTGCTTCAACAGGTATCACAAGCTCTGTCAAATGATAATGGTCATACCTTTAGGAGTGAGGAGATCTGTTCCCTTACCAAATACCTTTGCAACTTTAAGGAAATTTCCAAAAATACGATGAATGTAGAGGCCAAAACTGACCTCTACTTTCATCATATTAACAACTGTCTTGTATTAAACACCTCTCTAAGCCACACTCTGAGCTAGGGGTACATTTAGGAAAAGAGTCTCATTTACTCCTACAGCAACTCTACAAAGTAGGTACAGTTGAGCATCTTTGTGCTCAGCTGAAATGCTCTAAAGTGTGAAATTTTCTGAGCACCAACATAAGGTCACAAGTGGAATATTCCACACCTGACTTCATGCCACAGGTGGCAGGCAAAAAGCAGGTGCACTGAAAAATATCATATAAAATTACCCAAGGCAATATGTAGAAGATGTGTATGAAACATAAATAAATTTTGTGTTTAGATATGGCTTCTATCCCTAAGATATCTCATTGCAAATATTCCAAATTTTTTAAAGTTTCAAAACTTCTTGTCCCAAGCATGTTAAGTAGATGATAATCAACCTGTATCATCGTTCCACTTTATGGATGTAACAGTTGGGGTTTAAGAAGGTTAAAGACACATAGTCAGTTACTAAACTACAAGGCCAGTCCCATAGTATAGCCCTCCTTGGTCTTGACCTCATTTGTTAGAAGTTGCTTTATTTTAGGGATTCTATAATCAAAAGTATAGGCTTATAGAGGTTGAAAGTATAAAATTCAATTTAATATCTTTTCTAGATTAAACAAAGAAATCTCAATATAAATAGTCATGGAAAAAAGTTAGACTTTATATCCTAAATTAGAAATTAGAAAAACACATAGAAACAGTTATGAGATTCCATTGGGTTGCATATATGAAACTAAATAGCAAATAGGTCAAAAGAGCCAATAGATCAGAATAGCCAAAAAGGTCCAGCCTTATACAAATCACCCTAATAGAAGTCCAGTTCTAGGCAGTAAGGGGTGAAGCCCAGGCCCATTCACATTTCACCTGCCATGCACATGCTTCATGCTGGGTGGCTTCTCATGTACTGTACCTGAGCAGAAGCTGTTGCTGCTAATGGTCCTCGCTGAGCGCCCAGAGCTGCTGGGGTTGAACTCTCTGCTCTCTTCCTCAGAGAAGGGAGACTCAGAGGCTGGGGACACCTTGTGCTGTTGCTGGGGCAGATGGGGCCGAAGAATCAACCGGGGAATCCGGCTTCGGGAAATCTCCTTCTCATGATGCTGCACTCTGTGCTCCTTCTCACAATTGGACATCAGAAAGAAAACAAAAGGAAACTTGTTGCCCCCTCTCAACTCCTGACTGCTCCTTGAAGGGTCAGTTTCTAAGAAGTTACATTACCAAACATGGACTCTCCAGAGTAGTCCTTATCTCAGTCACTGAAATGAAGTCCAAAACTTCTGCACTGAGCTTACCTTTCTGATTAAGTGAAGAGCACACGTGACATTTCCACCTATGCTCAGGAAGGCTGCCTGCTTGCACCCCCCCCCCATTCCTGACTCACCTTCTTACTCTGGCTTTTTCTATCACATTCAAGGTTTTGGCTTCCAATGGCTCTTGATTACAGCATACTTTTCCTTTCAAATTCCATTTTGCTCTACCTGAATTAACTGTGACAATTTGACTTCTATTTTCCTGTCTGTCTCCTTACAAAGTAGACTTCTGTACCTGGAACCATTCTTTTCTGATGGACCACACACACTTATCCTTGAAATCTCTCCTCTTCTGGACAGGATCTTAATTATTCATTAATATCCTGGTACACAAGGCTTGTTGCCAACAGAAAAAGCAAACACAAATCCAATACCCAGGAAGATGGCTCCACCTTTTACATCATGTTTAGCTTTTGTTTTCCTTACAGTACACCATGAGAAGAGATTTCTCTTTCTCCCTCCTTAAAAATGCAGCACAAATACCTTGCTATGCCTTGCTTTTTTTAAAAAAAAAATGCATAAAAAGTCATATTCTGAAATGTTGCTCAGTTTTAAAGTTCTTTCCCAACCATTATCTCACTTGATCTTGACACCCCAGGCTGCAACACGGAGAAGACACTAATTCATGTTCCTATTTACAGACAAGGAAACTGAGACTAAATTTAGGAGGCAAAGGCTGTACATGATCTAGAAACAGAGTGAGCTTCAAATCCAGTGATTTTTCAGGTCGGCCACCACCCTTATGGAAGCTTTCTGCAAAAATTCCACGGCTCCCTCTAACCTCTGCAATTCAAAGAGGGCTTTGGCTTAGGCAACAAACACCATTTTGCAACATGAACTCCTGCTCATTTCCTCAGCTTACCAGGAAGGGTCAAGGCCAAAGTAAACACCTCGGGGAGACCAGCATAGTGCAGAATTGAAGGGAAAACCCCAGCCGCAGGGAACATCTGAGGTGCCTTCAGGCAGCCGCGCTATCTAGGGGCTGCAAACCGCACCCAGCCTCTGGATCCGCCCTACACGTCAGTCGCCCAGCAGGTATCCCACGCCAGCCACTCTGCTTGGCACACTGCAGACTCTACCAACGCTGGGTCACTGACACGCTGGAGTCCTTATTTCTCAATCACGAATACATCAAATTCCTTTTATCTACACCCAAACAAACACACACACACACACACACACACACACACACACACACACACACCACGTCAACAGAAAGCTTCAGCGCAAACCCTCAGTTTCAGGACACAGGATTAACCCTCTGTAGTTAATCCTTTCAATTCTCATGTCATTCCCCCAAATATCTTCCTCCGGTGCCATCTCCTCATTTGCCAGATCGCATCACCTAAGCAAATATCCTTTTCCTTTCCTTCCACCCCTTTACCTCAACTCTAAATGCCACCCCCGTCCTGTCCTCACCTGGCCCCCTTCTCACCCCTCAGTGCCCACCTTGCCTCCTTTAGGCGCCCTTGGACACTGCAACCCGCGCCCACACGACGTGTCCTCCTTACCTTGTTCTCCCGGAGGGGACCCATCACGCCACTGCCCGCCTGCTCCTCGCGCCGCCGCTGCCGCCGTCCAGGAGGAGGCACCTGCGTGCAGAGGAGCG